TTCTCCTGTTCAAGTTTTTGCAGGTAATCTGTGACTTTCTTTTTATAGGTGCTGGTTGGGTCCCTCTTCAGGGTCTCGCAGGTGTTGCTGTCGCTCAGTAGTGTAGTTATTTTTTCCTGGTAATCAGAAGTGTTGAGGACAACTGTGCATCTTCCTTTATCAGCTGGTAAAATGTATCGCATTTTGAATTCATCGTGTCCTGGACGACTGAGAATCTTCAGACTCCGGTACTGCATCTGGTTTTTGTTCATTTAACAGGAGTCGGTCACATTTTTTATACTGCGACCGGTTTTCCTTTCAGGCTGCTTTTTCCAAATTTAACTCGAATTAGAGGAAAGTTTTCTAGGGCTGTAATGTACCATCATGCACAGATAATACAATTGTACAGTAGTAATAAAATAAAAAACTAAACTGCTCTTTCTGTGACGTGAATGACTGATGTGAATAAAAGGTCGGCTACAGCTGAAAGGATAGAATGTTGTGAAAAAGTTTTGTCACATTCAGTTGAAACGAATAAATTCATTACACATTACAAGCCTTTATTTCTTGTAATTTTGATGATTATGGCTAAATCAATTTAATAATGAAAAGCCAACACTCGGTGAGTGTATTAGAAAATTAGAATGCGATGAAGTTCCACATTAGAAACTCGTGCACAGATGAATCGTGCTACAAATGTCTCGTTCCTCAAGTCAAGCCTGACCTGAACAAGAGACGTCTGAAGCGTCTTGTCTGGACCGAGGACTTCAGAAAACCCAGTGGACCAGCACAGAAGACATGGACCTAAACCATCTGACTGTGGAAACTTCACTCTGGACTTGAAGCAACGTGGATTCTGGACCTCTCCACTCGTCCTCCAGACTCTGGGACCTTGATTTCCAAATGACTGTAAAAATTTACTTTAATCTGAAAAGAAGACATTGGACCACTGAGAGACAGTCCAGTTCTTTGTCTCCTCAGCAGGTAAGACACTTCTGATGTCTCTGGTTCAGGAGTGGCTGGACTTGAGGAGACATTTACAGCTCATGTCCAATCAGCTGATCAGGCTGCGACACCAGGAGTTTACGATATGAACCTTTTCATAATGTTCTAACTTTCTAAGACACTGACTTTTGGTTTTCATTATCTGTAAGCTATAATCATCAGAAATAAAAGGACACACGAGGACATGAAAAAATAAAATGGACATACAGGGGGGACATCAAAGATGGACAAGAAGAGTGAAAAATCTATTTATTAGAACATAAATTTGTCAAAAATTAGAACAAACTCTTGGACTTATGAGCAGAAGTTAAGTTTTATATAAAATTTGAACAGTGGATACAGAGGTGATATCATGTGTGTAAAAAAATACGTACAATAAAGGTAAAATAAAATAAACCGATCTTTTCTTTTCTGTCCGGAGCTTTAAGTTAGCTGATGAAATGTAAAAGGCACTAAATGTACAACATTCCAGTTTTAGAGAACGGAGGCCGTGATCGTTCAGAGAAACCAAAACAACATGATCGCAGGACGTCTGTCGTCCTCCTAATGCAAGACATAGTGCAGGTTTTACAGAAAACACCAAACAATTTGCAAATAACACACAACTATTTACCATCGAGAAAACACCGAGCTTTAGGACCGAGTTCGACCTGCGTTCACCTGAAGCTGCACGCGCTCAGGCCGCGCGGCAACAATCCGCCATAATTTAACGTTTACGTCACATTTTTAAAAAAATTTCTTTACAAACGGCACGAAACACTGCAACGATGAGGAGCGAAGCGACCGGCAGGTTACGGTTCGTTGGTTTCATACGAGGTTGGTCTTCTTCAGTTTGGGCAGTGCGCTGAAACACACGTGGCAGAGCGGCAACAACAACAATAACAACAACAACAACAAAAAGGCGAAGGTGGAAGACGACAGCGCTCGAGTCAAGATGAACAGAATTAAAGATTTCTTTACTCTGGGTGCATTTAATGATGAGCTTCCTGCTTTGTCTAAAGACACAATTCAGATGTCTAACATTCGCAGTTGACCTTAAACGCACCACGACGTTGAAAAATATCAACAAAAAGAACGTCGTAAATGTCAAACAAAAGAGGTTTTATGGTTAAATTCACCTCCGAACGTTTTTAAACTAATAAATCCAAAATATTTTTGAGATCATAAACAAATTAACTGGTTTCTAACGAGGTGCTTCAGTTTGTAAATTACAGATTTAAAGTTTCGGACGTGTTAACGACAATTTAAACGACGGATTTTTACGTTTTCGGTTGTGGTAAAAAAAAAAAAAAGAGGCAACTAATTTACGTGTTTACGGACATTCAACAATAGACGGTTATCATGTGTGGCTGTTTGAAAGGCAAACATCAAAATCTGGTGATACGTTTGATCAAAACTTGAGCAAACGTATCAGAAGAACGAAGATTTCTGACTCCAGTTAAACCAAGTTCAGATCTTTTCGGAGCTAGGCTCTATGGCAGGTCATAAACTGGATCTTATTGGAATGGGGCAGTGGTTTTATAATATTTAAAGTCCATTCAAAGCTTTCTATTTTTTTTAATAGACAGCTTGTAACGCCTACCCCCCCAAACAAAAAAAGACCTTGGAGCGTTCCAGCATCTGTTTCTGCCCACGCAGTTTATTAGAAAAAACAGTTGTAGTGACAGAACATGTGCGCCCCACTCCACGCTGAACCATCGGACCGTCCAAAATCAAGATCCCTGCTAGCAGGACGTTGAGCGTTTGTGCTCCACCTGCACGTCCTGAAATCTCTAGTTAATCTAATCTCGGCTAGTCCGAGCAGGGCCGAGACCAGAGTGGACCCAAGCCGTCGTAAAACAAGTCGAATCTCAGAGACAAAGGCAACGCAAACAAATCTTTGCTTATTTCAGAATACAACGTTATCCGAGGTTGATCAAAGAGCCATCTACAGCAGGTAAGATATTGATTGTTTACAACCTGTCCGCAGAACTCTGCTTCAAAAGATCTGACGTCTCATCTTTTGTGCTTCGACCTGTTGAAATACGGGCTGCGTTGAAGTTTTTAATCGAGTTTTGCAGGAAGTAACGTTTAAAGTCAGGCTCAAATTTAAACCAAAAACAGTGAAGTTTAACGATTTTTAAAGTGTAAACCTGAGGTTTTCGCTGCTCCTACAGAACTGTAAAGAAACCTTTAATTCCAAGTGGTTGAACACTTCCTGCAGCGCTGACGGTGAGAACATTTTGATCCGAGTGTCCAGGAAACGAGTCCACGAGTGTTTGACCTGCTGCTCTGGAAAGAGACCCGCAGCCGACCCAGACTGGAATGACTTACAGTAAACGGCACGAAATCAGAAGAACTTAAATACAAAGGCGACCGGCTCGGCGAGGGCGTCCACTGCGCCCCCGGTCACGAGCTGAGGGCTCTCAGGCGAAACCAAGGCGTAAAAACCGAACCGCGAGCAAAAACACCAGAACACAAATTTGGCTTTTAAGACAAAATAATTTGGAATGCATTTAAAGCTGAACAAAAAAACAAACGTTGAATTTTGGCCCATAAGTGAGGAAAATGTAAAGAAATGACATAATATGCAGAAAATAGACATTTTGATAATAATGCTTGTAGTGTTAATAAACTGCATGCAAACAGTGTATTTAGAAAACCGTCTCCCCGTGTGTAAAAAGATAATTCACCTCAGTCGAACGTTTATTTTAAACATGCAAATAAAGATTTAAAATACATTTCAGAGCCGCTTCCACCAAGAAAAGAAATAAACAAAGAAGAGATTTAAATAAATCAGTAAAGGCGGGGCTCGTTCCACCGAGGTGAAAATCCGACGGGAGTTAAACGTCTATTTATTTTATTTTTTTTAACGGTACCACGACGACATGCCAGAACTTCACGGCGAGCTGAAGCTTTCACAGTGACACAACGATCGCGCAAAAAACTAGCCGAGTACCACCGACGTCACTTTATAGGTGTTACGAGGACTGCATGCAAAGTTACCGAGGCCCAAGGTTCGCGTTTGAACGCCCCTACAGAACAAGATCACCATGGAAACGCCCAGGAGGCGGGGCTGCAGACCGCTGCACCGTGTGCAAAACAGTAAAAAGAACAAGAATGACGACAAAACTTCAGTGACTTCTGGCACAAAGCTCGGTTTTGTTTTCACCAGAACCAGAAGGTCTCGTTTGATCCACTTTGTCCACAGTGACGACGAAGAATAACGGGTCCAAATCTGCCCGCTTCAATTTAAAGTGAACTCAATCAGAACCGTGGGGGCGGCTGACGAGGTGGGTACAAAGCAGACTGAGTATGATGTAAGTCAGAGGTCCTAATACAGGTCCTGGAGGGCCACCACCCTGCATGTTTTACACGTTTCTCTGCTTCGACGCACCCGATTGGAATAAATAAGTGAAGATCTGAAGAGCAGGGAAACAACGAAAACGTGCAGGATGGTGGCCCTCCAGGGCCACTGCTGCAGGTGGGCGTAACATAACGTGCACGGCCAAGAATACAGTCGTGCAAACACAAAAAAACAAGTCGCCATTTTCAAAAACTGGCCTCTTGAAACAAAGCCGCACGGCTCACTGGTCGCGAACAGAAACCAGTGAAATTCGAAGCGTTTTCTGGAGACTTTGAGTCATTGAGCAGCCTCGAACAGGCCCCGCCCACCGAGACGCCGTCTTTAACGAGGACAATCAACGCCGAGTCGTAACACAGTGGACTGAACCAAACGAGACCTTGCAGGGGTTGAGGTGACAACAGAAGGGTTATATTTGTGGCCCAAAACTTTTATTTTCATCCCCAAAAGAAATCGGGAAAACCTCGGAACGTCTCATGTTAATGGTCAAAATATAAACGTAGAAGAAGAAACTTTTCAGCTTCAGGTCAACAATGACGTTACTTTTATCCAGTTACGCCCACAGTTCGTCTCTTTGTTACGACTGCGGCTGAACACGCCGCGGACTATCGTTAAGCTTCGTAAATTTTCTCAAGACCCCCCCCCCCCCCCCGGTGCTTCACGACCCACGACGCCATCTTTGACACACCACCAAAACAAACCAAATCACTTTATATTTAGTAAAAGCTTCGCTGTTTGGTCAGTCGATAGAAATTAAATTAAAGCAAACGTGTGCAACTAAACAAAGGAATGTTTTGTTTTAAAAGTCTGCAGTTTTAAGACGTAAGAAGAGATTTTAGAGTTTTCTCTCGTGGTTTGGAGTCGGTGCAACAGTCTGCTAGCTTGTTTCACCTCGTGGGCGTGAGGACGGGGCACGACGTCACACAGATCACAAATTATATTGTTACAGCTGGAATGATGGCGATAAACTTACTGTCTTTTCAAGGCTCATATATTGTGTAAAACGGAGCCTTTTTGTTTTGTTTTTTTTATACCAGCAAAGCACGTTTAGACATTTTCATAGAACACTTCATGCGTTCAGAGGACAAAAAAAAAAACAACAGAAAAAAAAGAAACGGCACCTTTTTTTTTTGTCCCTGGTGAACTCTTCCCTCCCTCCCCGAGAGCAGCTAATAGAGAGGTCTCGAACTTTTTATTTTTTAGTGTGTTTTCATTATTATTATTTTGTTTTGCAGTTTTTTTGGTCCCCGTCTTCAGTTTTTCCGAATGTCAGCGTAGACGACCGGCTCCATCTTATGGAAAGAGCTTTTACTGCCCGAGTGGTCCAACTGGGCGTATATCACCGGGCCCTGGAGCACAACACAAACAAGAAACAACCAGTGAGAGGCGGGACATGACGAACAGGAGCTTTACTGACAACACTCGTTTCACATCAAACAAGCGTTGAATTTGTGATTTTAGACAACTTTGTTACAAAATTTGAATCTATTGTCAAATAAACAGCAATAATCCACCTTTGTTCATTTTAAAAGGAATGGTTTCTTTGTAAAAGTTATAGATAAGTAACATCTTACCTGCCTTTTCAAATAGCATCATTTAACAAAGATCAAATTTACACCTGACGGGACTGACGAGCTAACGGCTAGTCGGAAAGCAGCCGAGACTGAAGTGGATTTCTGTCGTCCGAAAACTGTTCAAATCTTTAAACGTTCACAGCGACCCGTGAAAACGTTACATTTTTTACTTTTACCTCGCAGTAAGATCTTCAAAACACGGTTAGTTCAACAGAAATAATCTAAATCTCTTAGACGTTTTTGAAGAGCTACGTATCGTTTACGTCTAAATATCCAAAGAATTCAACGACAAATGGATAAAAAAAAAAAAATAATAACTTCTCCGTGAACAGCTTTGAACAGTTCGGAGCCATTAGCGACGACAAAAACCCACTTTGGTCTCATTTCTCCAAACTTAGCTTTTTCAACAACCCATCTACTACAGGTTAGAGTTTATTTATAATTTTTACACATTAAACAATGTAAAAACGCCACGTTCATAGTAAAAGCTGAGTGATGTGCATCACTATCTGCATAGATGCTTTAAAATTAATTACCTCGTCAGCAAACAGGAAATAAAAGTCAAACTTAGTTCAGGATTAGAATTTAGGGTCTGAAAAGATAATCCAATCTTATCAAAATTGTTTTATTGTTAAAATGTTTTATTCGACTCAGGCGCATGTTTGAAGAACAGATAACTATAAAAAATAAATGAATAACATCCCACCTGATTCACTCCTCCACAGGTCCTTATTAGATGATTTAATGCTGTAGCTGTTTAGGGCTTTTATTTCCACATAAACCACAACAAAAATTACAATATTTCCTGTTTTTTTTTATTTTTATATTGGAATATTGTTTAAAAATAGAATGCAATGATTTTTAATTCTCATCAACTGTTTTTTAATTTTAAGTTAGGACAGAGGCAACAAAAAGATGTAAAACTGGTACTAAGAACTGGCTGGAGGAGCATTTTGTAGCTCAATAGGTTAATTAGCAACAGGTCAGAGCGCCGGGTACGAAAAAGCATTTTAGAGCGGCTGAATCTGTCAGAAGTAAAGATGGTCAGAGGTTCACCAGTCTGTGATAAACTGCGTCTAAACAGAAGAACGATTTCAGAATAAAGTTCCTCAATGAAACTTTGAATATCCCATCATCTAACCACCACCAGTAACACAGCACCACCTACACATGTACTAATCAACATGTCTCTTAACTACTTGTTTAGATTAGAATGTTCAGATTAGAATGTTCAGATCAGGTTAGATGTATTTTTGCATTTATTATAAGTCTGTTTGTATTTATTGTTCTGCTGCGCATCTACACTGTGTGTTGTTTAGCATGTTACGTTCCATGTTGCACCGTGATCGTGGAGAACACGGTTTCATTTCAGCACGTGCTTGTACGTGGCCGAAATGACAATAAAACCTCTCCGACTCTGATCTACAGTTCGAAACATCAAGAGACTTTTGAAGAATCTGTAGAAACCTCTGAGCCTAAAAGACGAGGCTGCAGTCACACTGGAAGGTCGTGACCTTCAGGCCCCCAGGGGCCGCGGTGTCAAACACAGGTCTGGTTCTGGACAAAGGGACGCTACAGACAACGATTTGTGGAACACTGTTCACCGTGCCACCCACACATGCTGCTTAAAGCTCTATCAGGCAAAGAAGGAGCCGTGTGTGAACACCGTCCAGAACCGCTGCCGTCTTCTCTGGACCAGAGCTGGTTTCAAATGGACCGAGACACCGAGTCCAGAACTGTTCTGTGGTCAGACGGATCCAAACCTGACACTATCTCTTCCTTTCTAAACAGGAGAGGGACCGTCCAGCCTGTTAGCACACAGTTCAAAAGCCTGCCTCTCTGATGGTATAGGGGTGCATGGGCAGTTTAGACATCTGGAATGGCTTCAATGATGCAGAAAAGTACCTACGGGTTTTAGAACATCTGTTCCAATCCAGAAAAAAAAAAACATCCAGCAGGACGCTGACCCTTGACTTCTCCCCCAGACAAGATCGAGAAAATCATCTTCTTCTTCCGACTTTTCCCTCTTCAGGGGTCTCCACAGCGAGTCCTCCTCCTCCACCTCACTCTGTCCTCTTCATCCTCTGTCCTCACTCCAACTACCTCCGTGTCCTCTCGAACTGCATCCATACATAGACCAGATCGGGAAAATATTCCCTCCAAAAGACCGTTATCAAGGGAGGCTTTCAACGGGGAAACATGGACCTAGAACTAATTTTGTGTTGCTGCCATTAAATTCAGAACTACCTGATTTTTTTTATGCCCAGTTTAATAATTTATGTTTATTATGTTATTAATATGGGTTCATGAGATTAACAAATCATTGCATTTAGTTACATTTTACGCATCTTAACGTTTCTGGATTTGAGATTGTGGTTTATTTATTTTTTAGTTTGTGTTTAGATAACTGCACAAATAACTTTATTTCCTTTAGATTTTTTTAAACTTTTCCAGCTTTCTAAACACAAAAACTGAGCAAAGAATTTCCAGTTTTACTATAAACATATACAGAGAGAGGCGTTTTAAGCCATGTGTGAAAACACCGTGAGCCGATGAAACTGTGGCCTCCGGTGGATTTCTTGGTCCCCCAGCTCCTACCTGTACTGGACCCGAGGGACTGGAACACGTGGAGCCCTCCCGCCTGGACTCCGCCTTCTTTTGTGGCCGCGGAGCCTGAGAGCTCACGCTCTCCAGGGTCGTACATCTAGTTTTAGGGTTACGGTTTGCCGTGGTGTGGAGCAGTCAGAGGTGCAAACACACGAGGTAATGGGACACAAGACAGAAAAATAAAGCCATGAGTGATGAGTGACATGAAGCAGCTGAGAGCAGCACTGACGGGATCTGGGTGGTAAAAAAGTAACTTTTAAAATAATTATGACTGGAAATGAAACCATGCTACACTTTCAGGATGGACAAACATCTACTCTCTGACAAAACAATAAGGGAATAATTTAAATATTTATTATGGATGTGGAGCTTTTTAAGACTAAAATCTTAAGAGAGTAATCATAAATTTAAACAAATCCTTATTAAATGTGACTGCTGACTTTAAATATAGTAATTATTGAATTCACCGTTTTAATTTAATTTCCTTTTCCTTAAAAAAAAAAAACAGTCATGAAAAATTGTTTCGATGATTTTGTTTCCAATCTGTAAAGAATTTGCAGAATCCGTTTTAATTATGAAATAAATACCTTTTTGGCTGAAATTAGCAATTTGAAGGTGTCGATTTAAATGTTGGTTTTATTGAATTTTATCTGTTAAAATTTCAAGAAAAAGTAGTTGCAGTGAAGTAAAAACTAGAGCCCGACCGATATATAGGCGTTTGAGGACGTATCGGTGATAACTGTCCCATTATGCGCTGATATAAACACTTCTACTTTTCATCCCTAAAAGTTTGGGAATGAGCCATGTCCTTACTTGCAAATGGTGCAATTGTACAATGTATCCAGCAGAGGGCGCATAAGGACTACTTTCAAATTATGGCCGTTCATTTTAACTTTCGCTTTCAATACAGTCGCTGCATTGTTCAGTTTATATTTTTGTAACACACTTGATAACTTGGTGAATAGTGGAGGATGGAAAATGTGAACGCACGTTGGGAAGACTGTTTCAAGACTTTCAAGTGCACAACACGTTTAAAAGTAGCTGTTTACTTAGATTCTTGGGGGTGGACGAAGCTCGTCGTATTTTATTTTTTAATTCTTGTCGGGGGACGGAGTCACGTCTGTGTTGATAACCACCTGCTAGCTTAGTGCTATGTTGCTGCGGGTTTTATCGAGGGGGGAGGGTGTGCGGATTGGTATGTCAGTAGCATTTTTGCTAGCGTGTTTGTATTGCGCCCAGCGCTACATCAATACCGATAGTTGTCACGAAGTGGGGGGAGAGGCAGGGCACTCGGTTCTGTTGACTGGGGGGAGGGGGGGGGGCACCCTGCTTGTATAATGGTAGGGAACCATTGTATCGGCATTAGCCTTCCCCTCCCAATATCATATCGGCGATGGCCAAAATTTCCGTATCGATCAGGCTCTAGTAAAAACCACAGTTTGTTAAATAAAACTGTTGGTCTGATCCACAAAAGTCTAATAAATTATAATAAATGTTTGCTTTATTTCACTTAATCTGAACTTTCTTGTACCTTTAAGTCTAATATATATATATATATATATATATATATTATTATTTCTGCTACTTAATAAAAAGAACTTTGTTATTTGACAAAATGTAAGTTGTAGTAACAAGCAGAAGTGATCAGTGGATAAATATATAAAAAAATTAGGATTAAAGCTGTAGCATCAGGTTGGTTAATAAATTAGTAAAAAAAAAATGTTGAAAACATTCAAAAAGAGCAGTCTGTTAGCGTCTGTTGGCAAAACATCTCATGAAGCAGTGAACAGATTTTAATGAAAGTGATCTCTGGATGGATATCTACCACCTATAACCCAATTCAAGATGGCCGACATAGCTAATTAAATATAATACGCAAAAGCGGTTATAATAACACAGTCAATTTTGCAAATACCGAGCTAAAATTTGGTGTGGCGGTAGCCGAGAGTAATTCACAACACATATTCTGAGGGCTACTCGTTGCAAGTCAACCCCGTTTGCCTGTCAGCAAAATATCTCAAAACCTCAACGGATTTTAAAGAAACTCGCAGCACGTAATCATCAGATGTACATCTACAACTGATCGACTTTTGGGGTCAACCCTATACAAGATGGCTACCACAGCTAATCAATTTTAGCAAACGCAAAAATTGCGACGTCAACGAACTACATGAATATTGAGGTAAAATTTGGTGTGGTAGTAGCTGAGAGTCATTCTTAAACACACACTGTGATGCGCTAGACCAGGGCTATTCAACAAAACTGCTCAGGGGTCTGGACATCCAGCAACTAAAATCATAAACCAAAGTTTACAATGATCCGTTACCTTTTAAATTTGTTTATTTTATTGCATTGAATCATAAATGCAATAAACAGAACACACACCAAAAAAGTGAAGTGGGCCGGATTAGGCCTGTCACGATAACCAATTTTGCTGGACGATTAATCATTTCAGAAATTATTGCGATATACGATAATATTGTTTGAAATTTGACAGTAATTAGTAATTATTGTCAAATTTAAGAAAAAATGTTGGTTAATTTTTGTGTGTAGTACCTTTTTTGTGCACCGGATGGCAGTATAACTGGTTTGAATCAGTGAGGGAGCGAGTGGGTCTCTTTAAGAAAAATGGGAGGGAGGCCTCTTGATGTGACATGGGCTCTCTCTCTTTTTTTCAGTGCTCAAAATGGCGGACGCTAGGTGTGGTTTGAGCTCTTTAGCACAGCATTTTTCACACAAAGCTTTTAATAAAAAAAAAAAAAAAAAAACATTAAACAAGTTCTCAGCTTCTTTTTGCAGAGAAAAACTTTTTACACCAAGGCACGGGTTTCAACCGTGAATTTTGGAGCTTCGGCAAGACGGAGGTTTATTCCCGAGGTCGGCCTGTTAGCTTAGCTTCACAGCTTAGCCGTTTTTAACGATCCAAAAACGCGATTTTGGATCGTTAAAACAGATTTTAAAACGAAAAAATAGAAAGGGAGGGGTCAGTGAAGAACACCGGAGTTGATCTTTGTGTCATCCAGTGTCTTCAGTAGAAAGAGAGCGACGATAAAGCCGATAAATTAAAATTAGATCGATAATTTTCATTTATCGTGCGAGTAATTGATTTATTGTTTATTGCGACAGTCCTAGGCCGGATTGAAGTCACCCGCAGACCTGAAACGGCCCGCGGCTCGCCAGTTTAATAGCCCTGTGCTAGACCTTTTCTGTATTCATTTATTTTTGTTGTTCCGTGAATCTACCGGGACAGGCTTAAACTTTTTGAACGGGCTGTCTGATCAGAGCCCTTCACTGTTGCTGCCAACTTGAACACTGGAAGTTTCATTAGAGAACTCCAGTTAGAACCCTGGTTCCGAGTGGAAGGATCCGACGAGGGAAGCATGTTCGGATCTGCTCGGATCACACAACTCCTAATAAAAGCGAAGGCTGGCTGTAATCAAGCGACATGACTGCGAGTAAGAACACTGCGTGACGAGACACCGACCCGTTAATGGCGTTAACAGAAAATGTTAATGTGATGTTAGTCAGGACACAGGATGGAGGAAGATGACAGCACCAACCGAAACAGCAACCCCAAACACCTCAGGAGTACGAGCTTCAGCTCCCAAAAACGCTCGAGGAAGAGCTCAAAGAAGAGCTCAAAGAAGAGCTCCTAGCTTTGAATTAGCTTCAACGCTAACAGCAGCGACCTCGTTAAAAATGTTCATTCTCAGAGCGATGCATAAAAACATGCTGATTAGAAAAGTTGGGAGCATTTGAAAACTAGAAAAAGCTGTTTTCTTTTCTTAACAGGTGAAGAAAGTGGCCCAGCTGCCATGCAGGAGTTAGAACGAGGAGAGTGGTGTTAAATATCTGTTTCCATACCTTCACAAACAAAACAAGCTGAATTCAGACCCCTCTGTGGAGGTTAACCGATAGTGAAAGTGCAAAGTGGAGCAGACTTTACTCACCCTTCGTACTCGTGCCGGTTGTGGAGCACCCGCATGACGAAGCACGCAGCTACGGCGATGATGATGAGAACGATTAAAGCGCCACAAACTCCTCCGATTAGAACCGCAGTTTGGCTCTGAGGAAAGGACTCTGCAGAAACGGAGAGGAAGTCAGGGCCGGGCGAAGAAACGATTTACAGCAATAACATGCATCTGTCCAGGCGTTTTAACCATTTTAATTTTTTATTGTCTACAACACAAAGTACCTAACTTATGCAAAAACTATCCATCATGCACGTAAAAATAAAGATCACTGTAATGATCGTAATAAAATCAAATCCATGAGGACGTTTTAGGATTTATTTTTGAGTTTTGTATGTGCAGACGTTCAATGGCATAAATGCTTTGATAAAAACGGTGAAAACGCACACGCAGAAATAAACACACACCGCTGAGAAAACTGAAACAAGTCGCTGCTTTCACGACAAGTTCAACTCCTTTCTCATAAATTTAAATGTTCATCAGCTAAAAAAAAAAAACACGTCACCAAAATAAACTTTAGGAACTGACATCAGCTGGTGTCGGGAGGCAGAACAGCGTCTGCAGCCAAAATATAACAAATCTTCACACCATCTGCTTGATATCCGTTTTTAGAGATTTCAAGATGGAGAAGCAGCTTCCTGATGGACTTTAAGTTCATCTCCTTTAAAAGCTCTAAGCCAGCATTTTGCTATTTTTAGCTTTCAGCTAGAATTATTATTTTTTAGCTTTTCCCTAGTGTTTTACTACATTTATCATTTAACAAACCTTTAGATACTTTCAGCTCTTAGCCAGTGTTTTTGCTAAATTTGACTTTTAGCTAGTATTTTACCATTTTTAGCTGGCTTTTTGTTATTTTTAGCTAGCATTACTCACATTTTCCCATAAAAGCAAAGTTCTCTTCACTTCTTTCAAATAATGTTTTATAATATATACTCGCTCAGTTTTAGTCTTTCAGATTGTCTTTTGCTACTTTTAGCTTCTGGTATTTTTAGCTTCTGGCTAACCTTTCAATACTTTAAACTTTTAGCTAGCATTTTGCTACTTTTAGGGTTTAGCTACCATTTCCCTACTGTAGCTGTTAGTTGGTGTTTTGCTACTTTTAGCTGGTTTCCTGCTTCTTTTAGCTTTAACAACTTCAGCTTATTCAGCAAATTTCAGCAGTCGTTCAGCTCTCACACTGATAAACATAAATAAAAATAAAAGCAATATTTCTAGTTGTAACTTGATTTTAAAGAGAACAGATATTTACAGAAATTAAAACGATAAGAAAAAATATTGTTCAGTAAAAAATACTGTCAGTTACTTGTACTAGAACAGTATTTTGATTCTGCACTTTTTATTTGCATTTCCTTTGTAAATGTTCTATAAACGTATTCTTGTATTTTATTTTCAGTTTACAAAATAGTTTATCCAGTTTTTTGAATAAGCTGCTACAAAAAGGCGAAGGCGCCTGTGTGGTATTATCTGTTAGCGAAATATCTCACAATCCACTGGACAAATTTTGATAAAATCCCAAATCCCACACGAAAATTTACAACCGACTACCTTTTTGGCGTTGGCTTGATTCAAGATGGCTGCCACAGCTTACTGACCTTAGCAAATAAAAAATGGCTATAACTATTCTAAAGATATAGAACTAAAATTTGGGGTGGTAGTAGCTGAGAGTCATCCCCAAAACATACTCCAATTTATCTCATGCACGTTATTTTCTAAACTGCGTTTGCATCAAAACCTTCACTGTTGGAAACAAACTCCAGAGAGCAGATGTAAAACTTCTGCGTATTTAAGGAACATTTTGTGAAATCCATTATTAAAAAGAGGAAGTGGTGCATATTTGAGCCCCACCCCCCCCCCCCCCCCGGTAGGGGTGTGAACGCGTCAGACCTGAAGATAACAAGCTAAAACACGCACTCGTTCACTTCACAAAAAACAAACACAAGAACAAACCTGCTGCGTTTCTGTTACAGCAGTTTATTATTTAAAAAAAAACAAGACCTTTTCCACAAATACTCAGTGGTATTTGTCTAAAACTGTGTATTTGTACTCTGCTACAAAACCTATTGTGACTACACTAGTTCTAGTCTTTTTAGAGTCTGTCATGAGGAAGAAGCTCTCTCATAACTCTAGATGACTCGAGAGATAAGAGTCGCGGTTTAGAGAATAAAAATCTGACAAATCTCCTCAAACGTTGACTCGGTTAGATGTTTTCTAAACTGTTGCTGGAGATCGAAAAGTGTTTCTTCTAAGCTGCAGCTGCATCGGCTGTTTGGTTTTTGGAGGAGATGTGAGGTTTAGAGAGGACTCAAATCAGGTTTACATGTGGTTTAGAGGAAATCCTGCTGTGTTTATCCGGGGAATTACGGTGTGGTTTAAAGTGAGCCACGATGTAATCTGGATTACAGCGTCCAAAATGACACTCCGGTCAGAAAAATCACGGCTCAAATATATTCATTAAAGAAAACCTGAAAAATGATAAATACCTTTCAGAACCACCCTGAGCTCGGTCCGAGCCTGCGTTCCCTTCACGTCCGGCGGGTTCTTCACGTCACAGAAGAAGGTCCCGTTGTCGCTGAACTGGGCCGGGTTCAGCTGGATGGACACGTCCTTCTTGTTGATGTCTCCGATGAACTGGACCCGGTCTTTGAACTCGTGCTCCCCTGGAAATCCTTTCCCGTTGGAAAAATGGTAAATCTAAAAGAAAAAGAAAATAAAAGTTGTTAAAATGTTCAGTTTAAACTCGGAACCAAGAGCCACAAAAACAACAACCTTGTAGGAAGACAGTCAGAAAAATTACACATTAATCCGTTTTCTTAGAAATTAAAGTGTTGAGTGCAGCGTTTACACTGGTTTATACAGTTCTGGTACCAGTACATCGCTCTACCTGGTACCTAATGGTTTTGTACAGGTCAGAATTATATTTACTGGTCTCTCACACTGACACCTGGCAAAGTCTCAGGACAACAGGAAGACAGCTGACAAATCTTTCACCGTACTTGTTTAAAGAATTAAAAACATTAACCGCGTCCTGTGTATGTGCTGAAATAAATAATAAACAAATAAACAAGACCAGGTTGGTGATTTTTATCAACCTCTGCTGATGCTGGACACCTGAAGTCTCCATCCATTCATCTGATCCGGGTCACAGAGGCAACAGGTCCAGGAGGGCCAGAGAGGACAGAGTGTCCTGTGGTCTCCTCCAGGTGGAGCGTGATTGGAAAACCTCCAGAAGGAGGAGCCGTGACCCATCGTCTGAACCACTTCAGCTGACTCCTTATGATGAAGAGGAGCAGCAGCTCCTCAGTGACTCCTTATGATGAAGAGGAGCAGGAGCTCCTCGGTGACTCCTTATGATGAAGAGGAGCAGGAGCTCCTCAGCTGATCTCTAACGCCGTCAGGCCGCCTACAAAGGATTTCAGCAGCTTCGATCCAGGATCTCAGTCTTTCAGTCGTGATTATAGGTGAGGGTTGGAACGTAGACAAACCAGTAAACCAAGAGCTTTGCATTTCCACTCATTTTTCACAGCAATCGACCCGGAGCAACACCCTCATTACTGAGGACGGGCCCAGATCCATCGATCCATTTCCCGCTCCATCTAACGTCACTCTTGACTAAGACACCCAGACGCTTGAACTGCTCCACCTTTGTGTTGGGGCAAAACGAATGCGTGGTAATCCACGTAGCAGCCATCACGAGGAACCACCAGTCATCACCTGGCAGCCCACGAGCCTCTTCTGGACCACAGGGACGCCTCCTCTGACCCATGATAGTGGGTGTGGGAGGAGTCATCTGTTAAAAGTTGCAGTTTTCCAGGTCAACTTTGTGTCTGAGGCTCTAGCAGTGTCTTTTATCGTCCCTGACCAACAACAAAATGTTCACTTTCCTGTTTCCTACAAATACGTGAGCCGTGCTGGTGAAATAGTTCTGAATGTGCTCCGGCTGCAGCGCAAAAACTGTCAAAATACAGAACGTTGCCATAACTGAGACTTGCATTAAAACAAGTCCACGGTTTGTTGCCATGTTACAACAAACAACAGATCATTTTGAAGCTTTAGAGACGGAGAATTTAAAAATAACCATTGTGATTCATGTCGACAGCTCAAGTTACATATTTTCCATCAATATCCAAACTGGACGTGTATAAAAAACACAAACGTCATGCCAAGAAGGATTGTGTTACATAACTGCATTTGTTATATTACCGGTACTAAAGGTATTTGGACACTCCTGATGTCCCGTGGACACAAGGGGGGGGGGGGGGTTTTGGGGGGGGGGACCGGCGGGCTCAGCCTGGGCGGCTTCTTGCCTGGCGGTGGCCGCGGCGTGGTGCTTGGCTGGGGGGCTGGGCTGTGGGGGGCTGTGACTGGGGTGGGGTATATTGGGGGCTTTCGTGTGGGGGGCTGTGTGCTGTGGGGCCGGGGGAGTCTGGGCTCGCTGGGTGTGTGCCCTCATTTGCATGGGGCGCTCTCGCTGTGGGTGTTGTTATGGGTGGACTGGTCTTTTGCTTTTTTGGGGTGGGGGGGCGCTCTTGGTCGCTGTGGTGTTCTATCTCTGACTGTTTGGGCACTCCTGGCTGATTGTCCCGGTTGGGGTTTGGTGGCCTCTCTGGTTGGGGGGCTGGGTGTTGGGCTGGGAATCGGGTTGGGGCGTCTGGACGGTTTCGGGATGGGTCTGGGTTGCTGGCCCTGGTTCTAGTTGGTCCTCGGGGGCTATGTGCCGGTCCGTGGCCTTGATCCCTGGTGGTGCGGCTGCCACCTCCTCCTAGGTATCTCTGTTAGAGCCTCTGTCCCCTGGTGGATCTTGGAGAGTGGGGGTGCCTATTGGGGTCAGTGGGGGAGCTGGTCCCCTGGGGGGGCATTGCCACCTCAGTTCACCTCCCCATCCCAACGTCCTCCTCTGCCCACTCCACCACACCACCACTCAAACAGGGTTTTGGGGTTCTGGTGCACTACTGAGCTACGGGGAGAATCATCCATCTCCGTGGCTGGTGGGGTCCTGGGCCCTAATTTTAATATACAACTTAGACACTCACTTATAACACTCTCACGACACATGCATATATAGGATCTGGAGTGGGCACATGATCGCACTTAGGTGGTGGGATGTACTACCATTTCCACCTCCCCGGACCTGTGCCCACTCTCATATGTAGCATGTAGACATTTAGGGTTCTGTGCGGAGATGAGGGGTGAACGGGCGCCGCATGCTCTCTGGGCAAGAGGTGGGTCTGTGCCGGTCGCCACCTCATCCCCCCATTTTAAACGCACTGTATAACAACATGCATCAACACCATATTCAAGTGGGAGGAGGAGGAAGTGGGTCTGTTCATAATTTATTTATGCATATATAGATTTATTTATTTATTTTATTTTTATTTTTTTTCCCCTTTCACAAACTCCTCCTTTCTCCGTGTGACACTAGGGGTCAGAGATGGGGGGGGGGGGGGGCCG